AAGACTTTAAAATTTAAACGATTTGGAGCTATGCCAGCTTTTAATATAAATGTGTAGAACTTAGATTTGTATACAGATCTCATAGATTTTTCCAGCTTGAAAGTGTTTCCCTAACTCGAAAGAGTCAAGGTAAAAATTTCCCTGTATTTCTCAGTTTATCAAAATTATTGAAGCCAAAGAAAAGTGATGTGGATCAAGTCGAAATTTATGCACCGTGTTCCCGAAAGTCCTTACAGGGCATTAATTTTTGAGATACGGGTTGTAGACATTTATTTTTAATAACAAAAATATTTCATATACGCAAGTACACACGTTTTGGCATTTTAATACAAAGTGTAACTTTTTATAGTACGCACTCTCGGTTTCAAAATTTGCGATTTTTGACTTCCCTTTCAACTCGTCACAAATAAATTAGATTAATTTAAGATTAATTTTTTTCTTAAATTTTATTCAGCGACAATCTTTTTTGATTTACTACTTTGTAACAATCTTTAGTTTAAAATTTATCACAATTTGGATGCCGAAGGAATTTTTACACAAATAATTTATGAATTTTCAAACGCTATAAATAGGATATTAATATTATTATGTTATTGCTTTAGAATATTAATTTAATAACCATAAAAATTAAAGGAATAGGAGTATTTTAAAATTTTAATTTATGCAAATCATATTACGATTGATTATATGAGAGTATAGGAAGCCTGCCATTGTTTACTAGAATACGAATTCTGTTAATAAGACTTCCTTTTAAAAAAAAATGTATTGATCAATTATATGTATTACTTTTTACTTCAATCCACAAAGATATGCTCATCATTTAATCTAATAATTTTTTCCTAAACATATATTTTATTTTCAGTTAAGCACAAGCGCAAACTGAGTTTATTTATGACCTCTGAATATCATGTCCAACTTTAAAGTTAAATATGTCGTTCAGTTTTTGTATTTTTTTTTCAATGAGTTTCTAAATATAAGTAAAGTGCTCGAAGCACGTGTAAATAAAATGTTAGATTTCGTAATTTTTTCAAAACTGACCAGAAATGATACCGACAGAAGTATCTACAAGAAAAAAACTATTCTGGGTCTCCATGTTAAATTTCGACGATTCAGGTCGAATAGAAATGCAGTGATATGCTTCTGGTGCCTATGATTTGGCCACGGACAGCTTTTCTGCAACAATGCATCTGCTTTCTGCAACAAGCTTTTCTGCAACAATGTTTGAAGTGTGGTTTTGATCACCTAACCTACACTTGTGCTCTGACAAAAGAAAAAAAAAAAAAAAAAAACCAAAATCACACATTGCGACTTATAAAGGTTGCGAATTTTTTCCAAAAGTTCGTAATACTAGAAAAGATGAGCTCCCGAGCCGCCCAATGAATTTAAAAAGAAAATGAAAAGCCTAGAAAATAGACTCCTGAAGTTACTGCAGCTTCAAATATTGCAGATGCTAAATTAATCACTTCGGGCATTACTTTAAAGTCTGATTCGCAAGTCACTAATTTAGTATTACGCAAATTTGATGGATTCTTCAGCAACAATTTTTGCCAAGACTATTAAAGATTTGAACTCGCAGAATGAAAAACTACAGCTTGCGCTGCAGTTTCTTGGACTTATTGAAGAATTGAATGTTTAATTCTATTCTACTTATATCGAAGGATGACTGTGAACAACTGCACCAAACTTCAGGTGGCGCGATCTTTAATGCACGGTCTTTTTTTTTTCACTTTTCAGGACTTTTCATTCTAGGCCAGTTATGTTTTTGGCCCTTTCCCTTATAATTATGACGTTGTATTTATAGATTCTGTATTTCTTATACGTGTATGTTAATTTTATTTGAATTGAGCCGGAAAACAAGCTAGTTAATTACACTAGCTACTCTCGGCATAATAAAGTCCTGTCATGTCAGAACTGAACTTTTTAATTTACAAAAAGTCAAACATTATAAGTCATTGAAAACATTTTTGTAAATTGAAATATATGTCTCTGATTAACGGTTGTGAAGCTAAAAGCCGGTTAAGGACTTCTGTGGGGGCGTGTATAAAGACACTTATGTAGATTTCCAAATGTAGGCTTTTAAAGTTACGCTGTACGCTAGAAAAAATTTAATACAGAAGTAAGTATTTCAGAGTCTATTCGTAGCATCATAAAGTTCGAGTTTGTATGTAAAATGCAACTGATTTTATGCGACTACTAAAATCGTTATTTTAGCATTTCTTATCATTTCGGTGGAAGGGACTTCGGTTGTTTAATTTTGAATATCTATTTTAGGTTAGTTCTGAGTGTTACAGAACCTTTTTTCCTTCTTATAAAGCACATGTCGAGTAAATAACAGTTTCACAATTAACAACTTTATTTGTTACTTATGAAAAAGTTTTAAATTTCGCATACTTTCACTAGTATATGCCATGTGATTAAAGAGTACTGTCTGAAATACGAATTTTTTTTATTAATTTACTAAACTAGAACAATCATTCAATATTTTTGAATGATTTATTTAATCATTCAACAATATTGAATGTATTAATGTATTGAAAATATTGAAATAGTTTGAATTGAAATATTAATGTATTTAATCATTCAATAGTTTTTGAAATAGAGTGTGCAATGCGATTAAATTTTGCCCCCCCCCAAAATATCAGTTGAAAAAAAATTTTTTTTGGGGGGGGGAATTCAAGATAATGGCTGAGAAGAATATATGGATTTTGTATTTAGGTTGCTATTTTTAGTAGAATTATAATTAAAATTGTTTTATATCCCCGTGCAAGCAGCACGAGACTTATTTTAAGAGAAAGCTACGCCGGGAAAGTAAAGATACAGGAGCACGCGCATTTAACATTTAATAAATAGATAGATAGCTTGTAATTCTACTCTTTCGCTTTCCAGAAATTTCGAGAAAACGGAAATTACCAGAACATTCTCGTGCACGATTAAAAAAGCTTTAAAAGGCCGGAAAGAAAAATCTCAGTTCAGTGATTAATTTGTTGTTAGTAAATTAATTTGTTGTTTAGATAACTGTTTTGTTGATTGTAGCGAATTCGCTGTGAGATCAGATTAGCTTTCTCTGCGCTTTGGATTGCGTTCTTTTTAACGTTTTAATAGTTTAAAATAAAGCTACTGATTATGTTGCGTGATATTGTGATTTTGTACGAATATCTCTGAGGAAACATTCAGCGATTTATTATAATTCTTGTCATAAGAATAAGTTTTATTAACTTTTTATCGGACTTGTGTATTCAGTCTATTACGAACCCGTAAGCACGCAACAATATTGTATGCTGAATATATATTGCATCACACTAGAAAGAAAAATCGTACGATAGCAAGCATGAAGGTCACGACTGTTCCAATAAATAGTGTATTTTGGAGCTATAATAAGTAGAAGGATTCAAAGTAAAAATGTTTACCAAATGCAAAGACACTACATCTTTGCGATATAAATTTCAGATCAATACGGATATAAAAAAGTATCATAAACACACTAAGATTAAAAGAATTTATGACAGGTCCTTAGCTGTTTTTAAATGAATCAATAAGGCAAGTTTTTAGTTATGATAATTTTGGCGATCATTTTAAGATAAATTTAGCTTTTTGTACGAAACTGGGATTTTTGTGGTCAGACTTAACAGAGAAAGCTAAAATTAGTAAATTATTCTTTATCCTGTGAGATAGACTTTTCAAGAGAAAAATAGTATAGAAAATTAGTTCTGAAGATTTTCAGTCCTGCCAAAAGCTTACTGTACAAGCCACTTTCAGTCATGAACTGAATGACTATAATGTCGATCTTAAAAACTAAAATTTCGAATTTCATTAGATATAGCGGAAAGAAAATTTGGGAGCTACAGTTATGTATGCCTGATTTTTCAATTATAACTAAGCATATATAATTCTCTCTATGGTGTCTTTAGAAATTTATGTTCGAATCTTCTTAGATTCGTAATGATTAATTTCGTAATTCTTTTCAAAATATGTGCATAAAATAGCCAAAAATATTAACTAAAGATATCTTGAGGTTTACTTCACGACTTTTTTTTGGGACTAATTTTCTAATGGAAAACAAATTTCCCCTTGATATTTTATTTTTCTATGGGCAGAAATGTAAAAATTTAAATGTAAAAATTTAAATCTTTCATAACATCAGGGTGAAAGATTTATTAAATAATTCTTTTATATCCATTCTATTCTTCCTTAAATCTTCTTCAGAATTCAGATTAGAGATAGTTTAAATTATCAGATTAGAGATAGTTTAATTGGTATTTAGAAAGCACAGATATGCGAATCTAGACTTTTGTTTACAAAGAATTCAATGAATTTGGAGCTCCTGATTAAGTAGTTGCTGTGCTGATGGGAATTATTGAGTAATTTGATTTATCTCTTAATAACCAAGGCTAAGGGAGGAGTGTGAGTTACTCCACAAAAAGCGGCAAACATTTTTTTCTTCCCCCATTTTTTTGTTACCTTTGAGTTTAATATGTAAGCTACAAGTTAGAGCAATAAATCATTAGTTGAGTTTTACCTTTGCGTATCAAATAAAGTTTTGTACATACATTGTGTTAGTGTGAGATGACAATAATTCGTCCGGACAATATAAGGTTATGTAGTGTAAGGGAAGCTAAGTTACTTAAAAAATATTATTGTCTAAAATTATATTATTTTACACCCACACAAACATGAGGCAGTATTTTCATAAGTTGCACTTGTCTGCCAAGCCCATAACCGTCAATACATTCCTTTTAGGAAATAGGCGTTTATGCTGATGAAACACACTGCTAAGTGAATATTGTGAATTTCTCATACTTAAGGATATTTTTCTTTTCTTTAGTATAATTATTGTTAAAAATACGGAAATGTGTTTCTGTTTTTAGTAACAGTAACAGTAAAAACCGATAATTCATTCTAAAATTCGTACTGAAAGTTCAGTCGACTGGTTAAAGATAAAATTTGTTATATGCGATAAACTTACTATCTACAATCAGTATGAAAATGTCTATCAAAGCTATCGCTCAAACAAAGAAATCGTCTTTCGAAATAAAGTATTCATCGCCTAGAATCTGAAAACTGTGTTTACAGTTTGCGACCTGGGCATTAAATTAATCATTCTGTTACAGGATTTGAGTTTAGATTTGATTGGATACTCGGCCTTTCCCGCTTTACAAGGTGAGATTAAATATATTTTAACATAGTTGCGAAATCAATTTATTATCTTTATTTCCACCTCCTTTTTCCTGAAAAGCACTTAATACTAAGACATTATCTTTTATATACCGTATTGTCAGCAAATTGAATACAAAATTCTGACTGAAAATAATTTTCTTTTTTAAGATGACAATTATTACTCTTATGTGATAATGATAATATGTCTTATGTAGTACATATGATATTGTACTTAAGTGATTTATAGGCTAAATTAAATTAAGTTATTTAAATACACCGAAGCACATAAGGGCTATACGTCTAAGGAGAGGAACGCCTTCGTGGAGTACCCGGCTTTTATTCACGTTACCAATGATGAAAACTACGAAAATACCCTGCAGATAACCAGTTTGCCGGGGTTCGAATTGGCGTCAAACTACCAGTATTCAAAGGTCTTAACAACTCGGCCACTGGTGGGCCCTGTAAGTGATTTATGCTTATTTATTTGGATTGTATGTGATGATATATATCAGAAGTAAAATATTAAAACTTTTAATTAATACTTGCTAAATTCATTTACACTATTATGACCACTCAAAAATTATTTTCAACAGGATTTGCGGCATTTAACAACCTGTTTAACGCAAAGAATGCATTCCTAAAAGGCAGAGTACTAAGCGAAACATTGTTCGACTGAGTCCTTTTAAAACATAGTAAATAGTGATAGGGTAACAAATCATCATAAATGAACGCAAACTATATTAATAAGCCCAGAACGTCGTTAGCCCGAGTGGGCTATTATGCTCGAAACGTGATTTTGTGTCATCCACTATAAACTACGAATCGGTTTAAAAATTATTGCCACACAATACGGTCGCCCTGCATTATCTTTAAAGAAATTAAATAATAAAGAATCTGCATGTATGTCCCTCGCACTGTGAGAAAACAATGTTACTTAGAGATATTAAATTTTGAATAACGTTGTCGTTCACTCGCATATGCGCATCTGGAAGCTTAATATTTAAATTTCGAATTTTATATTTAATATTTTATAAAACTTTATGAATTTTTGATTAACAAACTCAACGATATCTAAGTGAAGAGTGGCAGCACTGTTCGGAATAAAATATTTTTATGTCAAGTTCGCGAGATTCTCTGTCGAAAATTCTAAAGATATGCTATTTTTAAATATTTTGTGATTTTGCTGTTGAACTGAATTTTATATGGCATAAGCGAGAAGAACATGATATTTAACAAATACAACTATCACGCGAAACGTTAATAATAAAAAGACAAAAAAAGTTTTACAAGCCATCTTGCTAAGAAAACTGATCATTAATATGATGAACTGAGAAAAGACTGATAAAAAAATAGGAAAATATTTGCTAGCACTTAGCATTTCATCGGGAGGTCTAACATACGATGCTATGCTGCTTTTAGAATTGTTGTAATTTTACTGTTGAATTGTAATGGAGTAAGTGGTTAGAAAATGGTTCTTAATAACAAAGAGAGCAGGAGTTAAACTCTCAGCGAGAACGTAAATCCTTAACAAATTTATTTGGGCGATCGTTAAAACCTGAAGTCTTTCATATTTCTTTTTTAGTCCAAAGGGGCTTTGTCCCTGAAGAACTATTGTTTTCTTTTTGCGATTTTGCGTTGAATCACTATAAATGTTCGTTTCACTTTTCAAATTGTTGCCACCAAATGTTAAAATCCTGCATTATATTTGAAGAAATTACATAATGAAGAATCTTCATAAATGTATGTATATTTCTCCCATTGTGATAAAACAACGGTGCATAGAGCCATCAAATTTTGAATGACGTAATCCTACTGTGAATATGGCAGCCCGAATTTGGAATTTGTTTTATTATCGATTTCATATTTTGTAAAACTTTAACGAATTTTTCGAGTAACAAACTCAACGATTTAAAAGTGAGGAATGGCAACACTCTACGGTGGGGGAAAAAGGCCTTTTTATCTCCAGCGGGCGCGAAACTGTGTATCGGAAATTCTAAGGATAGGCTCATTTAAAAATTATTTTGCGACATTGCTATTGAACCGAATTTTCTGGTTTAAGTGCAAAGAACATGATATTTAATAAATAAAGTTAACACACAAAACGTTAAAAAAACGCCCCTTTGGACGTAATTTAAAATCTGAAACATTTCATATTTTTGTGCTTATTTTTAATATTTTCATATTTTTATTTATTTGTATATTTTTATATTTGCGTCCAGACGGTATAGAGGTTAAAGGAGTCAACTGCGATACGGAAGGGCCCAGGTTTGAATACCGGAGAAGGCATGGATGTAAATTATCTGTCCCGTCCCAGGAAGCAACGATGGCCGCCTATTAGGTACCTCTATAATAAAATGACTACCCCTTCTGGCCTTAATAGTGGCGAATATATATATATAAGGAAATAGGCAATAAAACCTCTTAATTAGAGGAATACAAACATACAAGTATTCAATGAACACAAAAAAAAGTACTTTGACATCAGTATGGAGACTTCAGAATTGTGTAAATGAAAGATATTTATATACCGACTACAATTACGTAATTTTTAAATAATTAATTTGCACTATAAATTATTATTTAAAAGCAAGTTTTTAATTTAAGTTCTGAGTTTCTTTCAAGAGTTTTTTCTCCGAATTGCTTTATGATATTTTAAAATGCGTTTCATATTGTACTTCACTTTTACCCTTCATTAGGAATTCTGATTTCATTCAATAAATTATATAGAAAACTATATGATTCGTTGAATTTCCAACTCATTGTCAATGCGTGATACGTAACTTGCGTTACTGTCATCACATTGCGTTCCGAGGGTCGATAAATCAGCGTCGATAGATACATAATTTGAAAACTGTGTAAGTTTGTGAAATTTCATTTCATCCTTCGATGGAATCTTCTTCAAAGTTTTCTGAGATAGCGGATAAATCGCATTCGATTGCATAAAATTCCATCTTTTTAAAATCAGTTTTCAATAGCTATGGATGTCGCCTCATTATATGAATTTCTAATGAAATTCATTACGTCAAAAATCATTTATTATGCAGACATCGTAGTTTAATATTCCGATTCCAGATTATTTAACACTCGTCTGACTGATAGTTTTCTGTATTTAAGTGCAAATTATTGAATTATTCCCATGCTCAGAAGCCTTAGTTCATTTATTTTGTTTGGCGATAAGAATGCGAATCTTATACCTTAGTGTGTGAAACTTAATTATTATTTCCATGTGCAGGTCTTATATAAGATGAATTAGTTTAGTATTTGAAGAAAATTTCTTTAAGAATTTTAAAATTAGGAATGGGATTTTTCAACAATTCTCTAAATTCTGTTAAGTTTTTCATTAAATCAAGATTTTGCTTAGCTTTTGTCGGAGGAACAAAAAACAAACAAAATAACTAAATAGAGGAAAAAATTAAAATCTATAAATATGTATTCATTGAAAAGAGATTCGATTCTGTTTTGTTTTTCTTCAGTTCGAAAATTCTGACTCTTCCGAAATCTTTTTTTTTTTCTTTTTTTTTAATTTTTCAAATAAAAACTTGACTTTTTAATGGCAAGATCATCTAGCGCCATCTCTTTGTTTCCTTTCGCCTTCTTGAAACAATTCTGTGTAGAAGAAGATACTCCCTCTCTTAATGCCTCGCCTTTTTTTTTTTCGAATTTCTCTCAAAATCTGGACTATTTACTATAAATTAAATCTCTAAGAATACCTCAAAATTACGGGGATTTACATCTCCTCATGATGTTGCGTTGATTTGTTTGGCAGTTTGGTCTCTTCTTGCCCAAAATACTTCATTTGAACTAAATTATGTGACAACTCGGATTATTGTTCAAAGGGGCTTTGTCCCTTAAGGACTATTGTTTTCGTTTTGAAATTTTGCATTGAATCGCTATAAATGTCCATTTCAATTTTCAAACTGTTGCCACCAAATGTTAGAGTCCTGCATTATATTTGAAGAAATTAAATGATGAAAAATCTGCATAAATGTATATATATTTCTCGCATTGTGATAAAACAACGGTGCATAGAACCATCGAATTTTTAATGACGTAATCGTCCTACGAATATGGACATATGGAAGACCAACTTTGAAATTTGGAATTTATTTTATTATCGATTTCATATTTTATAAAACTTTAACGAATTTTTAATTAACAAACTCAAGGATTTCAAAGCGAGCTACGGCAACGTTGTACAGAAAATTTTTTTTTTATCTCCAGCGCGTGAGTCTCTGTATCGGAAATTTTAAAGATATGCTCATTTTAAAACTCTTTTGCGATATTGCTGTTGAATTGAATTTTAAGTACGAAGGACGTGATATTTAATAAATAAAAGTAACACACAGAATTTTAAAAAAACGCCCCTTGGATGTAATTTAAAATCTGAAACCTTTCCGATTTTTTTAAAACTTTTATGTTATATATTGTTGCGTGCTTATGGGTTCGTAATAGACTGAATGCAAAAGTCTGATAAGAGTTTAATAAAATTTATTCTTAGCAAAAGAGATATATCAGAACTCTGTAATTTTCCTCAGAGATATTTGTACAAGTGTTCACAATATCACGCAGTATAATCAGTAGTTATACTTCAAACATACAACGCAATGCAAAGCGTAAAGAAAATTTAAAGAGAAAGCTAATTCAGATATCTCGAATTCACGCGGAAATAAGAACTCTAACAGTAACTAAGCAACTGAGATGAGATCAACTCTCTCTGTATGCCGTGATTAGCAGAAAGATTTTGTACTGTGTTTCGGCTGTCTTAACTTCTCTTGCCTTAGAATAGCGCTTCAAGTAAAATGATTACCGATCAGTATGTCCAGAAGGACAGAATGGAGGATGGTGAGCTGAGCTCTGGCTTCAACCGGTCGCGAGAAATATCTAGCACTTTCTGCTTCTCGAGATTTCTGGAAAGCAATAAGAGGATGGGATTACGGTTACAGCCAACATAGTGGTCAATTACATTTATTCAATTTCAATACAAATTAACGAGATGCTGGTTT